CATTATTAAAGGCAATTTTCTTTCAATTATGGATACATCTAAGGAAAGTGATTCTGCCTTCCTGGTCTTCGCCTTTACCCAAGATGGTAATTTTGAGTTTCTGATGTATCATTATGATTACACCCTTAGTTTTGTTTGGGGCTGATGAAAAAGCAGCCAGTTAGTACAAATGATTCTCTATTAAGTCATTTTGGAGCAGGTGTGTTTCTTGGGCATTGCTATATCAAAATGTACCCCTGCAGACCTTTACATTTAAGTTTGCAGACTTAATGAGTTAGGGTGGGTAATGAAGGAAAAAAAGTTTTCTAAATATAACAGAAATGCAAGCCTAAACAGTCCAATAGGATGGCTGTAGGAGCAATAGCTCTTGATCCATTATCCTCATTATTATTATTATTATTATTATTATTAGCAATATGGTTTAAATGACCTTAAATATTATGTACCCTCAATTTGTATTAAGCATGTACTGTATGTGCTCTATACTATGTACAAAAAAATGAAAAAATAATCTAGATCTTCACAATAATTAATCATGGCCTGTAGCCAAGTCCTCCCTGGATGATAAATTCAGTAGCGTAAACGGAGGGGACAGCCATAAAAAAATTAAGAAAATGAATTTTGTGGTAGCCCATATGGGACTGGCCATCTATCCTAAACAGTTCAGCGTGGAACAGGGTTTCCATTAGGAAAATTTGGCGCCGGACAACGTGACCAGAAACATTTTAATTGACCAAACTCCAATTATATCAGTCTTTTTACAGTTCTACTGGATTAGGTTAATAAATAGTATTTTGATCAATGAATAAAAATAATTACTTTGCAAAATATTCTTCTTCTTCTCCCGGCAACAATTTTATTTATTGTATTTTATTTAATTTTTGGGGCCAAAAGCCGGCATTTACTGGCTAACGGAAACCCTGGCGTGGAGTAATTTTCTAAGTGTCCTCGACCATAGGCAATATAATAATAACGAAGTCCAATGTTCAGCAATAATAATAATAATAATAATAGTGTTCCTTTTACCCAATTGAGGGGGTGTCCTCAATATTATCTAATGCTGAGGGCAGCATCATAGCCATAGGCTAGGCTGCGTGATTGTGCTTGGATAGCATACCTGAATATTGAGCCAGTCAAATTGGGGTTAGCCTAGACCTGTCGGCTCGTTTAGGGCTTCTCGAAGAAGTCTTGAGCCGCCTCGGTAGTGGAAAACATGTGTGTTGTATTCTGAAAGGTCAAGATGAGTTTTGCCGCATCTCAGGTTTAGCTTGCGTAGCTGGGATCTCACCTCGTTGTAGGTCACCCTCTGTTTCAGCAGTTTCCGCACTCAGATCTGGGTAGATGCCGATCCTTTTCTCGTCATAGGTCAGAGCCCCCGATTCTGCTGTGAGGCAAATAAATTGCCCTTTGACTTCAAAACCATGGAGTCGTACAATCATACACCGAGATTCGTTCCAGAGAGGACGCCAGCGTTTCCGTAGTGGCGCTGGACAACGTGACCGTGAAGATTTTAATTTACCGGCGATTTGAGAAATTTACAGAACATGCAACTCATGTAATGAAGCAGCCAATAAAACATCAATTTCAAACATTTGCCAAAATGCAATTCGTGGGAAAACACTATTCTAAACAGCGCACCTGATAGCGGTTCCATATGTGACAGAGATTAACATCTCTGTTAGAAACTTAGAAATAGGGGGAATCTAAAGATGCAACAACTAGGATGGGTTGCTATTATAACTAGGATTGTTCCTTTGGCTTCTGGACAATGAAAGAAAGTTGATATGAAAACCAATAGAACAGGAGAGAAATGGCATAGCAGTGGGTCCAATAGGGAAGTAAACAAAAATAAATTTGCCAAAGTTATATAATTACTCCTGTCTATACATTCCAAATATTTCACCAGAAAGCATGACTTAGCCACAGAGGAATCGAGGACCATTAGCTTCTTTAAAAAAATTGCTGTGGATTGTTTCAAATCACAAGCTCGTAGGCCTATGCCTATTTGGGAAGCCTGCAATTTGGGAAGTGCCTGTGGCAATAGGCCTAGTTGCGGCTGTCAGTGAAAAGCATCTAATATACACTGAGTGTACAAAACATTAGGAACACCTTCCTAATATTGAGTTGCAACCCCTTTTTGCCCTCAGAACAGCCTCAGTTCGTCAAGGCATGGACTCTACAAGGTTTCTATACCGTTCCACAGGGATGCTGGCCCATGTTGACTCCAGTGCTTCCCACAGTTTTCAAGTTGGCTGGATGTCCTCTGGGTGGTGGACCATTCTTGAAACACACAGGAAACTGTTGAGCGTGAAAAACCCAGCAGCATTGCAGTTCTTGACGCAAACCGGTGTGCCTGGCATCTACTACCATACCCCGTTCAAAGGCACTTAAATATTTTGTCTTGCCCATTCACCCTCTGAATGGCACACAATCATGTCTCAATTGTCTCAAGGCTTAAGAATCCTTCTTTAACCCGTCTCCTCCCCTTCATCTACACTGATTTGAAGTGGATTTAATAAGTGACATCACTTAAGGGATCATAGCTTTCACCTGGATTCATCTGGTCAGTTTGTCATGGAAAGAGCAGGTGTTATTAATGTTTTGTACACTCAGTGTATGTGTGAAGATAATTCTTCTTGAGTATAATTTAAAGAAATAAAAATAAAATAAAAAAAAAAGTAAATTAAATACATAAAAAAAGATTTTAAAAAATAAAATAATTTTTTTTAAAAATAAAAATAACAATGGTTAAACATCCATACAAATTAATGAACAATTTTTTTTTTTTTTATAAAGACAAATAAATTGAGAAAAACACATTGAAAAGTGGTTATCCCACTGGCTATAAGGTGAATGCACCAATTTGTAAGTCGCTCTGGATAAGAGCGTCTGCTAAATGACGTAAATGTAAATGTGAGCAATTTAAAATGTGAGCAATGAGCATGTGTCTGGTTTCTCTGTCCTGATAATGTTGAGGCAGCTTTCGCGCCTGAGCACACATAGGCTATTTCTATCTGGCCTGCTGCGCGGAAATGTAGGAACAATTTTTTTTGGTGCAAATTATAATACAGTATGTTACAACTATAGTTCCTCACAGTAAGCTATTTGAAAAATCTTTCCAACAATCTCCCCCTCGATAATCACCAATCCTCGGTGTGAAAGAGCAATGGAAGTTATAGGCCTACTGCCGCATTGGCCTATAGGCTATGAGTTTCATGCGCTAATTTCTTTAGCCGCCAATGGACCATGGTGTATCAATGTGTCCATATGGCAGAGGCTGGTGATCTCGCATTAGTTGATTTGAAACTTTCCGATTTGTATAATTTTATTTCCGATTTGTATGATTAACCACGTGACAAAAATGATTTTGAGAAACAAAATTATTATTATTGAAATGAAACTGTTCAACGAAACTGGAATGCAGCACATTATAAATGGTAGGATAAATGGTAAGCTTCCCCAAACTTGAAACTCACGCGCAGCCTATGAAGTCTTTATAAAATAATTGCCTCCAGTTTTCCATTGTCGTATTTTGCCAATAAGCTACTTTGAAGCAAGGTAAGCCATGCCGCATAATATGAAATAGACATTCAGGTTTCAAACAATTAAGTATGTTTTCAAAATGCATACTGCCTCCAGCTCACATTGTAAAGTGGTGGGTGACTCGCTGACAGCCTGTTGCCTGCACTTGAATTGTGAATGGGAGGCACACTTCAATTACCAGTTGAGAAATAAAAAGAGTAGCTATTTTTAATCGTTCACCAAAACTGTTTTTAACACGCGATTGCATTTATAATTGTTGCACAATGAATGGGCTTATAAAAGCAAATGTTTTACACCAGCAGCAACCAGCTGAGGATCTGCAGCAGAAATCCCTCTCAAAATAGGCTCTGTATGCTGTGCGCGTGTGATAGTGGTGTTGGATAAATAAGATACATGATGACTAACAAAAATACAAACGCCAATTTAATTCCACTAAATTATGCAAATTAACATATAGACCGATAAGCATGATGGTCAAATGTATTTAAATCAACTTGTATATCCATCAATTAATAAAAAGCATTATTTTGCAATGGGATTTTTTTTCTCCCTGTCATTTTCTCCCGGTCAGCAGTTTAAAAAAATTATCGGCCAAAAGGTTAACAGCTAACGGAAACACTGCCGTGTGCAATGTTTATCAGCGGCATGGGACCCAGCTTCTCCTGCCCAAACAGTTAATAGATCAGATTGTTTATGAAGGAAATTAGTTTGCCTGCTTCCACACCAATTTCAAGTCCTGTGACCCGCACATTGAATTTATGGGATTGATTTTCGAGTGATTCTGTTTTATTTTTTAGGAGATTGATTTCCCCTTCTAACTTAGTTCACTCTGTTTCCAGGTCATGGAGTCACCCCTCTGTCACATTGGCCACTGTCTCCAAACTTTCCACTTTAGTTGAGTGGGTATCCACTTTAGAAGTGAGCAGTGCAAGAGATTCATTTATCGGTTTTAATTGCAATTCTTTCTGTTGTCGGGTGTTGAGCCACCATGTTCCCACAGGTGAATTGTGAAAGGACAGAATATGCCAGCTGCTGGCGCGAAATTGACCTGCTATTGTTCCTTGTATACAGCGAACGTCCCACACCTTAAGGTGATGTTATATGATGACAGTTATTTGAAAATAAATCTGTTAATTCATAGTTATTTTGCTAAAGAAAGCCACGAGAAAGCCGTGTGTTTCAATGCATGCCACCGGAATCGGAACCCTTGGATACAAAGTATATTGAAAGTAGGTGCTTCCACACAGGTGTGGTTCCTGAGTTAATTAGGCAAGAATGGCATTGCATCCCTCCAATAGAGTTCCAGACACTTGTAGAGTCTATGCCAAGGCGCATTGAAGCTGCTCTGTCAGCTCCTGGTGGCCCAACGCCCTATTAAGACACTTTATGTTAGTTTCCTTTATTTTGGCAGTTACCTGTAGATAGATTCAAATTGAACAATATATGTATGTACAATTTAAATCTGTTTTAGGTCAACATGATGGAATCACCTCCAACAAGAGACCATGTTACAGACTGGTAAGGAAAAGCTACCTATTGTATAGCTAGCTATGTTTCCTCTACCACTGCCCCAGAGGGCATCATTAGCGACCAGCTCTCATCATTAGTGACCAACCTCCTTCTACTAACTGTAATCTCAGAATAATCAACATTATTGTGTCTAATTCCCCTACCGCTCCTACTCTAATCTGACTAAGGAATTGTTCCTAGATTGGGTTTATCTGTGTTAGCTTAGTGGGATCATCTCCTCCCTTCTGGGTTGTCTTTCCTTCCAGGCCAACGGGCCGCACCCCTGGGGTGGAGGACTCTCCCCTGCCCCCATCACGGAGCGCCTGGCATACCTGCGCCCCTCCAGAGAGCTGCTGGAGTTCTACAGGGAGAAGATGGCCCAGTTTGATGGAGAACACGAGGACCTGCTGCAGATGTTGGAGAAGTACAGAAGACAGAGGACACCACAGAAGACCAGGTAAATGGTGTGTGTGTGCGTGCGACATGCAGCAGGCATTCATCTGGAGAAGTACAGAGCAACCAGGAGGGTGTGTGTGTGATAAGCCGAAATCACATGGCGAGACGCCGTCAACGGGGTCAAGATTTGGGCGCGAGAGTAGAGCGAGTCAATTCACATACACTGCGTAGCGTATGCCAACTTAATTGTCATGAGAATCCATAATAAACACAGGTAGGCTGCAGTTGTTTTCAAATATGTAGCCTATTTGACTGATAAACCTTAGCTTACTGCCCAATACATTTAAAACTACATCTTTAAACTACATCTTTAGTCTACTTTACATGTTGCGTTTATATTTTTGTTCAGTGTAATTCCAGCGTGCACGCTCATTCACGCACGATTTGGGCTTTAATCCCCCTGTCTCTCCCTGCCCTCCCAGCACAAGCTGCAGTGGGAGGTGCACCAGCACAAGGGGGAGATCTCTGAACTGCAGAAGGCTCTGAGCGACATGCAGGTATACCTCTTCCAGGAGAGGGAACAGGCACTGCGCCTGTACGCAGAGAACGACAGACTCAAGATCAGGTGAGCTCTCATTTGATTCACAATTACATTTAACAATTGCAATTGACATTTCCAGCTTTACATTTCTGAGACATAAATGTTTTCTATTGTCTTTGTGTGCAGAGAGCTGGAGGACAGGAAGAAGATCCAGCATTTGTTAGCCCTGGTGGGGCCAGACGCTGGGGAGATAACCTACTTCCACCGCGACCCTCCACACAAGGTGGGAGGTCACAGTCTCCAGGATCTATTCTACCCCATTGTCACATTACATGACTTCGGACAGGGAGCGATATCTAGTTGGCCACTTGCATGACTATAGTCTGTCTGCTGTGCTGTAGGTTACCATAGCCCAGAAGGAACTAGAGCAGAGGATTCTGGATCATCGGAAGACCACAAAATCAAGAACTGGATGTATAAAAGTTAATTTATAAAATTATTTTTCATGACTTGATATATATATTTTATCTGTTATGCTGTTGTAGAAGGTTTATAGGTAAAATCATTCTAGATGGCATTTGGTTAAAATGTTCTCAAACTACCTAGCTAAGAGTTGCAAGATTTTACCTATTTAAGATCAACCGAAGCCTAAGGAGGGGAGCTGCTAAAGTCTCATTAGGTAAGTAGGATTACAGTGGGCTCTTAGCACAAATCAGCTTACAGAAATGTGGAATAATCTGTTTTTGGAGTGCAATATTTCCCTTACTGTGCTGCTTCTGTCTGTGTGCAGAGGGTAACCGGGCATCTAGATCAGAGGAGGGAGTGGTGAATAGAGAAAGCCCAGGGCAGTACAGAAGAGACAACCAGACCTTACTACTACAGGTAGTAACGTATATACACACACACACACACACACACACAAAAGCAACTAATTTAGCTCTTTGAACACTCTTGCTGAAAGTTGAACTGGTGTAATGTGCCTACCTATGCAGGTGGAGGCGCTGCAGGCTCAGATGGAGGAGCAGACACGTCTGTCCAAAGAGCAGGTGGAGTCTCTGCTGGAGGACAGGAGGATCCACGTGGAGGAGGGACCGGTCCAGCACCAGAGAGACCAGGACCACATCACTGCACTCACTGACAAGTATGTTCACTATCTACTTTACTCTACCACACACCTCACATGCCTCTCATATTCCTCCTACTCTACCCCACATACCACTAAACGCCAATGACAAATGGGATTACATACCACTAGGGCTGCAAAGTTCCTGGAACTTTCAATAAATTCCCTGGTTTTCCAGAAATCCTTGTTGAAGGATTATGAATATCCTGCTTATTTGCTCCTGATTCCGGGAATACTCCAACCAGGATTTTGGGAAAACCAGGGAATTTATTGAAAGTTCCAGGTATTTTGCAACCCTACATGCCACTATCCAGCCTTTATGATTTTCTTACTCTATCTGTCCCTTCTTCTCCCTCCCAGGCTGGAGCGGACCCAGAACCTGATGTACGAGAGCACCAGGGACTTCCTGCAGCTGAAGTTAGAGACGCGGGCCCACGAGAAGGGCTGGATGGTGGAGAAAGACCAGCTGCTGCAGGAGCTGGACTCAAACCAGGACCGACTGAGGGAGGCCAAAGACAGCCACGGGAGGGAGCAGCCAGGATCCAGAGGACCCAGCAGCAGCAGCATGGCCCTGCTCCTCACCCAGCCTCAGCCTGACACACAGCACGTCCACAGGGAAGAGCTCAGGGTGGGTAGTGATGCACACGCTTCAGATGAGAGGTCTTACATCATTGGGATCATACCCAACACCTCAAATAAAGTAAGGTTTCTTCTTTGAAGTTTTTTGTTGTTGAATAAGTGGTGTTAAGAGTGTTGTTGTGCCCTGTTATTTCCTGTGCCCCAGGCAATGCAGGAGGAGCTGAAGCAGGCCAACTGCCTGACTGAGATGTACAGGGAGCAGTGTGTTACCCTGGAGACAGACCTGGCTCAGATCAGAGAGGAGGGGGACGTGGGCAGGGAGATATTCAAGGTGTGTAGCCACATCCTTATCTGGGGGGAATAATTCAGACTTTCGTATATATTTAGCTAAATAAAAATGATTTTGTGTATTTTTTGTATTTGTATTTATTAGGGATTCCCACTACTCTTCCTGGGGTCCAAACACCATTAAGGCACATATAAAACAAAAGATAAAACAGTGTGTTGGTATACCTTGTGTTTGTGTTGTATTTGTGTGTGAATTTACGCCACTGTGTTTTGCTCACCTTTGTGTGTAGGACCGGTCTGACAAGATAGCAAAGCGTCTTCAGATGATGACCCAGCGGTACGAGGCCCTGGAGAAGAGGAGGGCCATTGAGGTGGAGGGCTTCAAGACCGACATCAAATACCTCAGACAGAAACTCAAAGACGTGGAGAAACAGCTCTTCAAGGTGAGCATGGGACAAATGTCATACACCTGTGTGTGTTACCTGTTGTATGTTTTTACTTGTATATGTAGGCTCACGTGGGCTACCTGTGTGTTTCAGGTGACCCTGAACGTGGGTCCGAACCAGGACCTGGCCATCCTACACGAGGTGTGTCAGACCAACGCTCGGACCAGGAAGGTCCAGGGGGAGCTGAAGACCCTGAAGGCCAAGATCTACGGGCTGGAGAACGACCTCCGCTACAGCTGAGATACAGCCCAGACTGGCCCACTGGAGACCTGGGTACCGTTCAGTAGGCGCGAAACAGGAAACGCTTTGAAACAGAAATTGAGCATTGTTATTGGACAAGTTCAGGAAGTACAACCTCCTTTTCAAAACCTCTTTCGTGTCTACTGATCACAACCCTGTATTCCCCTTTGACATGCTAAGTTTAAGTTTGACTTTCTGACACTGTGCCTATCTAGAATGTCTCACGAATCAGTTTGTCAGGTTTTAGGCCAAGGAGACCTAGGTGTGTATGGTCATTGACAGACAAATCAAATCAAATCAAATTGTATTGGTCACATGCGCCGAATACAACAGGTGCAGACATTACAGTGAAATGCTTACTTACAGCCCTTAACCAACAGTGCATTTATTTTAAACAAAAAAAGTAAAAATAAAACAACAACAAAAAAGTGTTGAGAAAAAAAAAGAGCAGAAGTAAAATAAAGTGATAGTAGGGAGGCTATATATACAGGGGGGTACCGTTGCAGAGTCAATGTGCGGGGGCACCGGCTAGTTGAGGTAGTTGAGGTAATATGTACATGTGGGTAGAGTTAAAGTGACTATGCATAAATACTTAACAGAGTAGCAGCAGCGTAAAAAGGATGGGGTGGGGGGGCAGTGCAAATAGTCCGGGTAGCCATGATTAGCTGTTCAGGAGTCTTATGGCTTGGGGGTAGAAGCTGTTGAGAAGTCTTTTGGACCTAGACTTGGCACTCCGGTACCGCTTGCCGTGCGGTAGCAGAGAGAACAGTCTATGACTAGGGTGGCTGGAGTCTTTGACAATTTTGAGGGCCTTCCTCTGACACCGCCTGGTATAGAGGTCCTGGATGGCAGGAAGCTTTGCCCCAGTGATGTACTGGGCCGTACGCACTACCCTCTGTAGTGCCTTGCGGTCGGAGGCCAAGCAGTTGCCATACCAGGCGGTGATGCAACCAGTCAGGATGCTCTCGATGGTGCAGCTGTAGAATTTTTTTGAGGATCTGAGGACCCATGCCAAATCTTTTTAGTCTCCTGAGGGGGAATAGGCTTTGTCGTGCCCTCTTCACGACTGTCTTGGTGTGTTTGGACCATGATAGTTCGTTGGTGATGTGGACACCAAGGAACTTGAAGCTCTCAACCTGTTCCACTACAGCCCCGTCGATGAGAATGGGGGCGTGCTCAGTCCTCTTTTTTTTCCTGTAGTCCACAATCATCTCCTTTGTCTTGGTCACGTTGAGGGAGAGGTTGTTGTCCTGGCACCACACGGCCAGATCTCTGACCTCCTCCCTATAGGCTGTCTCATCGTTTTCAGTGATCAGGCCTACCACTGTTGTGTCGTCGGCAAACTTAATGATGGTGTTGGAGTCGTGCCTGGCCATGCAGTCATGGGTGAACAGAGAGTACAGGGGGGGACTGAGCACGCACCCCTGAGGGGCCCCCGTGTTGAGGATCAGTGTGGCAGATGTGTTGTTACCTACGCTTACCAGACATGTTGTGTATGACATGTATTAAAATGTCATTTTACATTGATTCTGTAATCAAATACAAACAGAACAACTTGAACAGTGTGCATAAGTCGTGCACATGCGTCCTACACACTGGTTTTCTACTACTGATTTGTCTATTGTGTGTTGCTATGAAAAAACTACTGGATGTTTCATTTTTATCAATAAATATGTATTTTATCATTGATTAACTGGTCATTGTAATAACTAGATGTAAAATGCACAATTGCGTGGGCTAGTTACATAAAACATGTTTGATGTTTCCTCTGAACAGAAACGGACCCCAATCAAAATCTCTGTAAATCAAAAATGTTGTTTAGAAAAAGAGCCCATTGACTCAAATCAATGTAGACGTCATCACTTCCATAAAGTAGGTATGCAGTCTTTTGTACCTCAGCAAATCAGAGAGTACAGCCGTAGAGCAGCAGGACCCCAGGAAGATGCCAGCACGATGAATCCACAGTGCTTCAGAAATATAGCTTCCTCACATCTAAGATTGTGTCTTGAGGTCACTGTCCACCAAGAGGGTCAACCTGGCTGGGCATTAAGTAACACGTGTGAGCTGCGGAAATACCTGGAAGAGGTAAAGGGGGGCATGTTTACAGAGCCACCTCTCCAGTTCTGGCAGGCATGGATAGCTGTTTATCCAAAGCTGTGCCCTGTGGCACTGGATCTGGTTTCTGCCCCTGCAGCCCAAGCGTTCATGGAGAGAATGTTCTCTGTCTGTGGACAACTGTCATCAGGCTTGAGAAACCGAATGACCACCTCTGGAACGCAGAGTCTTCTTGAAGATAAACCAGAAAATCTTGTTTGGTTGAACACACACACAGACACACACAGACAGACAGAGAGAAGCTGGCTAGCTCTGAACTGATAGTTTTGTGAAGAAGAGTTGTATTGCTTATGTTTTTGCTGTTGCAGCTGTTTTTCTTAACCCTATTTGAAGGGGTTATTCAGTGATTCATGTTTAATATTACATAAACAGTATGAAAATGGATGCACTCACTAGTGTAAATCGCTCTGGATAAGAGCGTCTGTTAAATGACTTAAATGTAAATAAACATAACATGTAGAATGTTTCTGCATTACTTCAGTTGTTTTTTCCTCTTTCTGTCAGGTAAAGGTAATTGATTATTCTTACATCTACTACTAAAGTTTAAAAAAGCATTGGATTGGTTTAAACATGGACAAGAGAGTTTCATTCCACCCATATTTCTTGCACTAGTCTAGGCGCTTATCCTTTAAATCCAAGTCACATTAATATTCATTTATAATTTAAACCTAACCGAACCTATGTCCTGGCCATGGAGTTGTATGGAGTCCTCTAGTGGCCAAAAGCCTGTGCTAGCATGGCAACACCATTGAGGACTTTCGCCATTTTGATTTAGTCAACTGGGTGGGGCTTCCAACTTCATTGGCTGATCCCTCCTGATGACCCGTTTGGAGTCTTGACAGGGGGGTCATCAGGAGGGATCAGCCAATGAATTTTACTTGTGAAGAAGAAAAACAGACTATTTCAAGATGAGATGGCTTCAATGGCGCAGCCCATGCTCTCACAGACACCATCTTTGATTTGATTTATTAGGATCCCCGACGCCAATGGCGACAGCTAGTCTTACTGGGGTCCGACACATAATTACAAATACATTACAGACAAAATACTTTACAATTGACATACATTTAAAACATTAACATGTAGTGTATGTGTGTGTGCATCTATCAGTTACACATACATGTCAGTACATACACACAACAAGTAGGTCACATGGGGGAGAGGCATTGTGCTGTGAAGTGTTGCTTTATTTGTTTTTTGAAACCAGGCTTGCTGTTCACTTACATTTACATTTACATTTACGTCATTTAGCAGATGCTCTTATCCAGAGCGACTTACAAATTGGTGCATTCAACTTATGATAGCCAGTGGGACAACCACTTTTTTTATTTTTATGGGGGGGTGGGTAGAAGGATTACTTTTATACTATTCCAGGTATTCCTTAAAGAGGTAGGGTTTCAAGTGTCTCCGGAAGATGGTCAGTGACTCCACTGTCCTGGCGTTGTGGGGGAGCTTGTTCCACCATTGGGGTGCCAGAGCAGCGAATAGCTTTGACTGGGCTGAGCGGGAACTGTGCTTCCGTAGAGGTAGGGGGGCTAGCAGGCCAGAGGTGGATGAACGTAGTGCCCTTGTTTGGGTGTAGGGTCTGATCAGAGCCTGAAGGTAAGGAGGTGCCATTCCCCTCACAGCTCCGTAGGCAAGCACCATTGTCTTATAGTAGATGCAAGCCTCAACTGGAAGCCAGTGGAGTGTGCGGAGGAGCGGGGTGACATGAGAGAACTTGGGAAGGTTGAACACCAGAGCTTGAGCTATATACTGTAAGATGGAAAGGAGTTCCATGCACTCATGGCTCTGTATAATACTGTACGTTTCCTTGAATTTGTTCTGGACCTGGGGACTGTGAAAAGACCCCTGGTGGCATGTCTGGTGGGGGTAAGTGTCTGTGTCAGTGCTGTGCGTAAGTTGACTATGCAAACAATTTGGAATTTCCAAAACATGAATGTTTCTTATAAAAAAAAAGTATTTCCTCAACTATTAGCCAAGAGACTGGCATGCATAGTGTTAATATTAGCCCTCTGATTACAATGATGAGCAAAACGTGCCACTCTGTTCTGGACCAGCTGCAGCTTAACTAGGTCTTTATTTGCAGCACTTGAACATATGACTGGACAATAATCAAGATAAGATAAAACTAGAGCCTGCAGGACTTGCTTTGTGGAGTGTGGTGTCAAAAAAGCAGAGCATATCTTTATTACGGACAGACCTCTCCCAATTTTACAACCATTTAACCATGAGTTTACAATCTAAGGTAACGCCAAGTAATTTAGTCTCCTCAACTTGTTCAACAGCCACACCATTCATTAACAGATTCAGCTGAGGTCTAGAACTTAGGGAATGATTTGTACCAAATACAATGCTCTTAGTTTTAGAGGTGTTCATCATGACACAGATACAGAGATACAGAGATGTTATCTCTATCAAAGTCTATGTTGAAGGAGAACCATCTGGAGAGCCGGGCCATTCCGACTGTCTCACTCTCCACTAATGTCCATGGCTTTGGACATTACCCAATAACGCCTTGCTTCCCATCTTTGTGATGAATTGTGAACACATTGATTGAAAGAGTTTAAGCTGGGCTTTAGGTTTACAGCTAATTTGCAGTAGCCTCTGTTGACTTTGGAAAATGGGGGAAAAGAACCAACTCTCACATAATAATAATAATATGCCATTTAGCAGACGCTTTTATCCAAAGTGACTTACAGTCATGTGCGCATACATTTTTATGTATGGGTGGTCCCGGGGATCAAACCCACTACCCTGGCGTTACAAGCGCCATGCTCTACCAATTGAGCTACAGAGGAAAGCAAATGCTAAACATTTTAACAGAAAGTTCTTGTTATTTTGCAAATAAATGAGAGGATACATTCAGTCACGATTACAAATAATCCATACTCTTAGAATGTAAAAATGCTGTAGATACAGTGCCTTCAGAAAGTACTCACCCCCCTTAACTCTTTCCACATTTTGTTGTGTTACAGCCTGAATTTAAAATGGATTAAATTGAGATTTTGTTTCACTGGACTACACACAATAACCCATAATCCCAAAGTGGAATTATGTTTTTAGAGATTTGGCAAATTAATAAAAAATGAAAAGCTGAAATGTATTGAGTCAATAAGTATTCAACGCCTTTGTTATGGCAAGTCTAAATAAGTTTCAGGAGTAGAAATGTGCTTAACATGTCACATAATAAGTTGCATGGACTCACTCTGTGTGCAATAATAGTGTTTAACATGATTTTTGAATGACTACCTCATCTCTGTACCCCACACATACAGTACAATTATCTGTAAGGTCCCTCAGTCGAGCAGTGAATTTCAAACACAGATTCAACCATAAAAGCCAGGAAGGTTTTCCAATGCCTCGCAAAGAAGGGACCTAGATGGGTAAACAAATAAAAAGCAGACATTGAATATCCCTTTGAGCAATGGTGAAGTTATTAATTACAATTTGGATGGTGTATCAATATACCCAGTCACTACAAAGATACAGGCGTCCTTCCTAACTCAGTTGCCAGAGAGGAAGGAAACCGCTCAGGGATTACACCATGAGGCCAATGGTGACTTTAAAACAGTTACAGAGTTTAATGGCTGTAATAGGAGAAAACTGAGGATGGATCAACAACATTGTAGTTACTCCACAACACTAACCTAAATGACAGAGTGAAAAGAAGGAAGCCTGTACGGAATACAAATATTGAAAAGCACGCATCCTGTTTGCAACAAGGCACTAAAGTAAAACGGCAAAAAATGTGGCAAAGAAACTAACTTTATGTCCTGAATACAAAGCCTTATGTTTGGGGCAAACATAACACATCACTGAGTACTACTCATAATATTTTCAAGCATGGTGGTGGTGTTGTGGAAAATAATCACTATACTTTATCAAAAATCAAAGTTCTTCCAGAGTTTTTGTAGAATCAAGAATTACTTTATTACAATTTCAACAAAGCCAGGCTAATCTGCAGATTAGGCCCCCTCTCTCTCTCTCTTCCCTAGCTATATAGTCTCCTTCACACACACCCTAGCTTAAAATCCCTCCCTCTTCAGTTTCCCGCTCTTTATCGCTCCGCCCACTTCCTTTGTCTATGATGGCGGCTAAATTCGACTTTCATTCAGTTCAGAATCAATAGTAATACAATCAATCAATCCCTTATCTTGCAAAAACACTCATGTTTAGTTTAAGCTCTCCCGGGCTTGACCTGAAGACTGATTGTTGAATATGACAGGTCCATACTTAAATCTTTCAAACATACACAAACCCCACCCGATCATGCTGTAATCAATCAAGAAGATAGCCCATGAGAGACAAAGGTTTAGCCTGAACTCTGTCCAACCCTGGCCGCTCTTTCCACTTTGTTTGAGGAGAGAGGCAAAAGGCCACAGTCTGGTTTCAGTCTCTGATAAAGTAGGACAGCCATGGATTTGAATAAGAGCGAGCCATTCGACCCTAGGTCAGATTCCCACTTCACCCACACACACAGTGAAATGACCCAATTAAGTTATTTGCCTAGCAACAAAGAATTCTAACTATGTTCATGATTAACCCAGTTTTATCTCATAGTCCACTAAAATATCTCCATCAGTGGCTGCATCATGTAGAGTATGCTTGTCATCGGCAAGGACTATGGAGTTATTTTTAGGATAAAAAGAAACGGAATAGAGCTTATCACAGGCAAAATC